GGTAACTGGTTAGGGGTAGTCTAGGGTTTTCATGTTATTTCTCTCACTCTGCTTAGTTAGCAGGGCTGAAATTAATTTTTTTTGATGTATTTTGGGTTTATACACAAGCACATAGGGCTAAGGCACATAACTTTATAAGATTTGGGGCCTTGACACAATTTTTTCTTAAACTTACTTTTAGAGGCTGTTTGGTTTGCTACAAAAATAAATTACAACCAATTTTGCATGCAATATTTGTTACAGAAAATCAATTCAAAATTTGATGTTTAGATATCTACAATTTTATTTTATGTAACATGTTTCTAAATGCAAATTTATTGTTTGGCTGAAAAACAATTAGGCAAAAGCTACAAAATTTTAAAATTTTGCCATATAAAGAAGTTTTGGTGTAGATAGTTTATCTTTTTGGATTTAGAAAGAATTTTTTCTGAAGAGATGGAATTATTTTTGTTTTTTTAGTTCTCTTTTTCAAAGTCTGCTTTTCCCTCCACCGAATTGGATGTAGCATTTGTTGCAAGATTTTATTACAAAATGCAAGCCTATTTACCTTTTCTAATTACAAAGTCATAAACCAAACAATATATTTACAAAAGCAATTGTTCTATTTCCGCTTGCAACTCCATTTCTATCCAACCAAGCAGCCTTTTAATGACGCAAGAAGTAACTGTGATTCACAGGGTACAATATCCGTTATATTAGGCAATTATGATCATGAAATCATCAAATTCTCTACTCCAGACATTTGACCCGCAACATTGCACACAAAAATAATGAGAGAATTACAGTCATTGCAGTTCTGCCCGGCAACATTAAGAAGACACTGGATGGATCACTGTCAAGGACAAAATCTTGTCAATGCAAATGATATTTTTGAAAAACAAAATGAAGCCCAACACATGGAAAATAAATTTAAAAAAAAAAAGCAAGCAAACAAGCAAGCAATTGATTCAGAAGGCAGAGAACTAGAAAACATTCCCTTGTGCAAGCAACTACATTCAGCAAAATGTCACATCTTGCATAATAGGCGCAATGCCTTGTAGTAATATAAGTACGAAGAGTGAAAAAAATAAAGGACCGAACAAAAGAAACAGTTACTTCGAGCTCCTCAATATAATGCCCTGCGGCCAAGTATTGAGAGGTGGCATAACCTCCAATACTCCCAATAGCTGATTTGCATCCAAGGAAGTGCTGGCCGGAGATCAATTTGCAAGGAAGCCGAAATCCTGTGAAACTTGACATTCAGTTGTCATGAATACATAGGATTAATTCCTTTTATGTACCCTGATGTATGGTGTGATTACACGCATGGCCTTAAGAGTCTTTAAGTATCTGCACAAGTAATCTTGAGATTATTGATTTTAATTACACGGGTGATCCTGGAGTTCACTTCATTATTTCCTTCCCAACATTACCCATGAAGATACAATTAGTAATCTTAGTATAATCCATGTAGATACACCGACTCCAGACTCCAGAATTACCCGTGTAATCACACCATACCACATGGTACCTGAACTTAATTAATCCACGAATTAAAAAAACATAAAGCGAGAACAAAAGCATGACCAGGTGATCACCTCTGTCCACTGAGAATCCCATGAAGTGAAGGTCCATCAATAAATGACCTAAGCCTTTGAAACAGATTCCTGTAACTAGGCGCCATGATTTGCACTGTAGTGATTTGTATCCAAACTTAGTACTTACAGACAAATCACAGACACCAAGGTAAAAGCAAGAAACTAAAACTGAAACATCTATTGCTGAAAAAAGTATACATATGTTGAGTTGAGAAGGGTGGCAGACACAGAATTATAATATTACTCTCTCTTTTAGTAACACAACCCTCAACACTTCCTCTAATGCTATAACACATTCTCTCTAGTACAAACTCACTCTCTTTTTGTTACTCCCAATCGCTACTAACTCTCAATTGAGCTCTTTTATTTTGCTATAGACTCTCTGGTAATGGGATGCCTTAAAAATGAGGATTGATGATCTATCTATAACAAACTTAAGTGGGTTCAAATTCACTCATGTTTATTATGCATATAGCTCTTACACTAAGGCTACAATAGCCTTTAACACTTGATTAATGTTAGATAAGGTTGATGAAGAACGGTGCTAAGTTCAATATGGTATCAAGAGCAGACAGTTACGGATTGACTCTCTCCTACAGTGATCCTACCAGCATTACTCTTGAAGACTGTAATTTGTGTGCAATTTAGGTCTATGAAGTTGGTTGGTCAGATAATAGACTTGCGTGGAGATGTTTCAAGTGGAGATATTGAAGTTGTGTCGTGGCACGGTACGGGTCTAGCAAACACTACCACTACACTCAGGAAGCTCAGCTAAATAACTATGGCTATCGGGAGACCTGTATGAAGTTCTATTTGCAAGGATAGGATCTCTGGGAGGTAGTCAAGGTTGTTCAAACCTCAGAACCTCGCGAAGCAGGATAGGCGATGCACTAAAGTAGATCTCATAGACTGTACTCGATATGAGAAAATTCTGAAAAAGGCATGGATATGTTCGCCACACTCTTGTCAAAGAAGAGCGTTACATGACTTCAGCGCCTTGACAATCAATTAACAACTATACAACAGAAGGATCTGAATCATCTAATAATTAGTTAGTATTTTGAACTAGTAAAATCATTCTATTCAAATATTGCTTAATTAGATTCAGATTCTAAAGTATAGGATGTCAGAATGGGTTTACAAAGTTAAGATTTAACCAGATTGATACAGTGATGGACCCAGGAATTTTTCCTCGGGGAAGGGAGGCAAATACAACCATCATATTTACTTTCAAACTCAGTGAAAAGCTATAAAATATATGTGCTAAAACAATGCAAAAATTCTTACACAAATATTAAGAATTAGAGAAATCATAATTCTCTTAATGCAAAGTTCAAAAACATTCTTAAACAAACAAATTTAGACTAATTGAGTTGTGCGCGACATTCTTTCATTGATCTAAATCCATCTATGATTGAATTTGTGCTAAATTTCTTGGCAATTTCTTTTTCTATATACAAGATTAAGGAATCATTCAAGAATTCGTTTCCATTTTGTTCCGAAGTTTTATCTTCATTATCTTCTTAATCGAGAATGCTCGTTCTGTAGCTGTCGTTGATACTGGAAGAGTAAACACAAGCCGAATCAATCTATCAAAATGGATAAGTTATTGACTGCCTTGTTCTTGTTAAGCCTTGGCTTAATTCGTGAACATTAGATGATATTTGTCATTCGAGATGATTACAAACATCATGCTCATAATGTTGAAGTTTCACTCTTAATCGCGACAGGTCTTCCTCTGTGAAATCCAAAGTATAAAACTTGTTTGCTAATCTAAAAATATCATTGATTTTAAATGGCATAAACATCTATCTAGGATCCAACGCGGTGCTCAAAACAAGAAACTCTAATGTATGCTCCTTGAACCTACTGTTTAGCTCCTACAATTATTGATAATCAATTGTTGTAAGGAATACGTCCACCCGATAATAATGCTCAACACTTGCATGATATTGTTTCCTTCGAGAGCGACCACACCTTGTAACATATCGAGAACTCATATCTAGGACATCGATGTTATGTTTCTCACAAAATGACTTGACTTCCTTAATAAATGTATTCCATTCGAATCTCTCATAATTTCAATCAATAATTTTGTACTTGAAACAAGATGCATAGCATTTAAAATATCTTGAGATTGGCGCTGCAAAGCTTGGCAGAGAAGATGGCACTGCAAAGCTTGGCGGAGAAGATAAGCGATCTCCAAAAGGCCCTTCATAAGATGCAAGATGAAAACAAATTCAAATGATAATAAATGATTCCAACCATATATTGCATCTTTACGTTGTGAGAAAGTCCCTTCTTGAATAAGGCCACCAAGAACTACAGAAGCCACATTGAACATCTTTAGCAAGCTAAAAATAGAATCTAGATGAGAATTCTATCGATTGTCTCTGACACGTTTTAAAGTGCCTACTTGATTAAGCCCTCTTCCAAACTCAACTTCATCCTTTGTGATCATGGATGCAAACTTAGTAGCTTGACCCTCCTTCAGTTTATCATTACGTTTGCGTGATGCACTAACAATATTGATGATGAAAACGAAGTCAGAGAAACAATGATGAACACAAGAAATTTCACAAGATGTTGCAACCAAAGCAAGTTGTAGACGGTAAGCTAAATAATGAATATGATATATAATATGCACATGCACATTCATTGCGAATTAGAGCTTGCAAGCCATTTCATTCACTTCTCATATTGCTAGCCCTGTCATATCACTGTCCTCTAATATTTTGAGCATCCAGTCCATGATGAGAGAGAAGTGAAAAAATGTCATTCTTCAAAGTTAAAGCTCCGGTGTCTCACACATGGATAAGCCCAACGAAATGTTCACGTGCAAATCTTTCTTTATCACCAAATCTCAAAACAATGGTCATTTGCTCTTTTAGATTCATCATGAGATTCGTCAACAATAATGTAAAATTTTGCATTACCTAATTCTTCTCGAATCTCCTTTTTAACTTTGCAAGAAAAGACACAGAGAATTTCCTTTTGGATTTGTGGTGATGTATAAGAGGCATTTCTAAGGGCATTATTTAATAAAAAAATATCTGAAACCTTTTCAATGTAAGAAGAAACTTTATAAATTATAAAATATTTAAGAGAATCCAAGCTTTCATCACGATCACAAAAAGCACAAGCTTGAAAAGTAAACTATCGAACTACAACAACTGAAACTTGAAGATGTAGCGGATTCGTTGCAACTTGTTAGAATTATGCTTTCGACCAACTTTTGAATGTGTTGAGAGCATTCACTAAATCATTGCTCGCTTTCACGACATTTTTATGCAATGAGTTAGGTTCTTTTCTAATATGCCGTAGGAAAGCATAATTTTCTCCATTTTTGATCTTTTTCCAAGCTCTAAAGCCTCCAACAATAAATTTTATTTTGTTCAATTCTTCCCGTTGGCTTTGCTAAAAAGACAACCATGTAAGCAGAAAGTTGCATCATTAGATGAAAGAATATTCAAGTCATGATGGAAATAATTCAAACCAAGAGCAACAAAAATGGCGATGATGGTTCTATGGACTTGATGGAGGATAATTTTGAAGTTTGCATTGATATGGGCCATCTCTCAAATAATAGCAACTGATCAAATCTGATTTACAAGATGCTTCCATATTGGTGAGCGGAGTCCAGGATCACGCTCCAAAGAAGAAAGATCTATATTTTTAGGTTCTTGAAACTTTTTGAGGTTGATCTACAAGTGAAGTTCCCGGATTTGGTTTAACATGTTCCAGCTTTTAAAGAAGAAATTTTGACTCTTTTATGTTCGGATCTTTGAAGCTTTTGAGGGCGCTCAAAAGTGGGAGTTTTCAGATTTGATGTAATTGTAACATGCTGCTCACTTTGAACGGATTGTTCAAGAGATTCTCTTAAAAAATTATCAATTGTAGTTGTTTTCCCATAACTACAAAGTTTCAATCTTTTTTGCAAACCTAACAAGTAACCACAAAATACAAATTATATTTATATCATTGGAATTTATTTCAAATCATAATAAAAGAAGAAATAACCTAAAGAAAGGATTCTAATTTTAATCTAATCTCAGTCATATCAATCTCCAAAACTGTATCTTTTTACCCAAGTACCATGAACCATAGGTTCAGAAGCAATTTAAAGCTAATTAATCTATATTGTTACAAAAAGTATTAAAGAGTTGGCAGTTTTTACCCAGAAACGAAGCCAAAGAGGTTGTTGACAGTTGAGGGTTCCTTTTGACACTTGAGTCCTTAACGGTGGCCTTTTGACACAGAGTCTTTGATGGCGGCCGAAAATGGCAGCACGGTGGAGTGAATTCGAGAGAGAGAATAGAGAGGCTAAAACATATTCGTGGAAAATATACATTAGAAAAAAAAATGTGAAAGGAAATAATTCGGCTAAAAAAATCGCAAGCGATACATGCGATCTGCATATTCTTGGGTTTGGAAACGAATTGGATTTGGTGTGAATATTTGGATATTTGAAGTTACGCCTTGGATATTTTTGGATATATCACTGTTTTAAAAAGCCTTCATCTAGTCTGCCTAGACGGTACCTAGGCTACCTAACTAGCGCCTACCACCTAGGTGGTACCTAAGCTGCTCACCTAAATTTTGGGAGTATTTAAGAAAATAGTGTCTGCTTACATGGACTGTACATTTTAGGCATTGATTGTGATTTTCTGCGTTGCAACCTCCACGTCCTCCAAACTCCTTTAACCTCCAAATATGAACACCTTAACTACCTCCTCAGACCTTCAGCAAAACCTCCTTGACCACCACTTAAATAAAAAAAGAAATCCACCTAGACACCAATTCAACACCTAAGCTTTCTATAACATTGACATTTACTATCAATTATTATAATTAAAAAATAAAAAAGAAAACCTTCTAGACTCTAGACGTCGGGTCCAACGCCTAGGCCTCCTAGCATTTTCTATAACCTTGTTAGTTATTATTTTGACTATTTAATATTTAAATATGCATGATTTATTATGGATCTAAGATTGCTATCTTTTTTTGTAAATTTATATAAATTTAATACGTATTTTTATTAATTATTATAATTAAATAATTTAAAAAATAGCCAAACACCTAGGCGTTGCTTAGGCGTACGCCTAATCACCTAGGTGTTTAGGCGCTGGCTCAAACGCTTAGTCCGCCTAGCGTCTTCTATAAAATTTGATATAATTGATTACAAACTCATTTAAAGTCTTATCAACCCGACACTATAAAGTGCATATCACATGCTATTATAACTACTATTTTTTTTTCAAAATTTTGGGATTGACCATGGCCACCCCTAGTCATGCTCTGTCTGTCAATGGATGGATCGATAGAGAGGTACAAAGCACACCCAGTGGCTCGAGAGTTCTCTCAACAATCCAGACTGATAATGATGAGACATTTAATCTAATTACCAAGATAATAACAATTCGAGTTTTTATAGCTCTACTAGCTAGCAGAGTTATAAGCTCTGACAGAAATGTGAAGAATGTCTTTCTACATGGCTTATTGAGAGATCTACATGGTGCAGTCCATGGGATTTCGGAGCAAGGAGAAGGCAATATATGTCTGCAAACTAAAAAAATCTCTCTACGTATTGAAACAAGCTCCAAAAGCATGATATAGCAAGATCGGTGAGATCCTTAATCAAATTGGCTACTCTATTGCTCTTGTAAATTCTAGCTTATTTATCAAGAAGACTGATAATGATATAGCAAGATTGGTGAGATCCTTAATCAAATTAGCTACTCTATTGCTCTTGTAGATTCTAGCTTATTTTCTGAAACAAGCTCCAAAAGCATGATATAGTAAGATTGGTGAGATCCTTAATCAAATTGGCTACTTTATTGCTCTTGTAAATTCTAGCTTATTTATCAAGAAGACTGATGATAAGTTAGCAGCCATTTTGCTCTATGTGGATAACTTAATTATCAATGGAGATGATGAAGTGAAAATCCAAAGAACAAGCGCAAATCCTTGAGTCAGGTCTAAAATGAAGGAGCTTAGTGGGCTAAAGCATTTCTTGGAGGTCGATCAAAGAATGGATGGATTGTTCATTTGCCAAGAAAAGTATGCAAATGATTTGTTACTCAGGTTCGGGATATTCAACTGCAAGCAAGTTTCAAAGCTGATGAAGACCAACCTGAGATTTGGAAGATTCAACTATATATCGACAACTGGTTTGAAATTTGATCTATCTGACAATGATAAGATTGGATATCGCATTTGCAGTTGGCATAGTGTGCTGATACATGCAGAAATCAAAGAAGCCTTACTTGGAAGTAGTTTGAAGAATTTTGAGGTATGACGAAGAGATAGTCAATCATGGTCTTCTGCATAAGAAAGATGGTAATTGTGAGCTCTACGGCTTGAGTATGCCGAATATCATAACCATCAGAGTTCTACTATTGGATACGTCTCTAATATCAGCTCCATTGTTGTATTTTGGTGTGGCAAAACGTGGCTTTTTCAACAAACAAAGGATTTTCATCAGTCCATAGACCACCTAACATCTTTACATTGCGATAATCAATTTGCAATTAGAATGGTGGAGAATCTAGCTTTCATGCAAGGACGAAACATATCAAAGTATATCATCACTTTCTACGAGACAATGTTCTTCAAAAGGAGATAGTAATGAAGCTGATCGAATAAACAAACAAGTATCCGATGTATTTATCAAAGCGCTACGTTACTCAACATTTACTAAATTTAGATATCTACTTAGGCTTAAAAATAAAGAATTGTTGCTAAGGGAGGAAAAGTATTGAAGTCAGCATCATCCTTCAACAACTTCGCCTAACATTGACTAAGTGGTAAAGACTATTGTCGTCCTAGCTTTGAAGCACAGATTCACCCCTGGAGGCCACGAATCCGTGTCCGACACGGATCCGTGCATGACACGTGCACGACACGTGTTGGACACAGTCAATCCGTGTCCGACATGGGTCAACGGTCAAATTAGGCTCGGACACGATCAAAGGAGCTCGAACACGGCTCGAACACTTTATTTTTAACTAGGCTCGGACGTGTAGGAGCTATATGCATGATAAGCATTGGTAGCTCACGAACCTGCTTTAGTTTGATATAAATGGATCATCAATCCTCATTGTTGAGACATCTCATTGCCAAAGAGCCCAGAGCAAAATAAAAGAGCTCAATTGTGAGCTAATAGTGAAAGGGAAAGAAATAAAAAGAGTTTGAGTTTGTAATAAAGTGTGCATATTTGTATTAGAGAAAGTGTTGAGGGTTGTGTTAATAAAAGAGGAATAATAATAATAATAATAATAATATATTTCTTTATATCCACCGCCATTCTCAACTCAACAACATAGACATCCTAGTCTAGTCAAGAATCCTTCATGTTCACAATTCAAGAATACCATCCTCTCTTTTTTTATATAGGATTCTAAACCCATAATACGGGGTTATGTGAAGGTCTAACGAGGGTTATCCCACAGGTTAATATGGCTAAGATAAAGAGCAAAAAATGAACTTGCAATAGGGGAGATGAAATTCAACATAAGAAATAGGTTTTTCACATATATACCTCAAGTCTTTGGTATTCCGAAGATTTACTTTCCAAATCTTACTATTTACAAATTTATCCGTTTAGGAACTGATCACATAAATAATTGATGAAGCAATTTTTATACTACGAGACGAGCAACATTACGTTTATTCATGTCTTTCAAAAGAAGGTGAGGGAAATAGGACTAATCAGATTTCCCTTGTTTGGTTACTCAAAAAAAAAGCAAAGGAAAAGAGTGATTAGGAGCCATAGTGTATTAATTGTCAAACCTACAATTTTTCCATTTGAAGGTGGTAAATATAAATACTTCATTTCTCTTACTCAGGGTTTCTTCCTTGTTTCTTTAATTATTTCATTCATTTTCCATGCAACCAAACAGATGATTAATCATCTTCAAAGTTAAATAAACGTGAAAAAATGTCCATCCAGGACTATAGATAACAAATACTATTTAGTGAACAAATACTATTTATAGATAACAAATACTATTTAGTGAACAGGCAAAGAAGGGTTTTACCTGGAGTAGCATAGTTAGTATGGACAAGAGAAACCACATTATTCAACACTGTGACGTTCGTTGTATGACTGGCTTTCCTTTGCTCCAATCCATAATGACCTGATAGGATTTCAAACCATATTCCAGAGGGGAATCTCCTTTTCCTTACCACCCACAGTAATATTTCCGTATAGGGGGTAGCATGAAGGATGGAAATAATTATCTCAATTATAATGCAGATTAAACAAACAGCGGCATATAAGATAGTGAAAAATATGTAGAACACTGAGGTCGTTGGTAGTAAAAGTAAGAGAGGTGTAAAGAAAAGGGCACCGACGACATGTTGCTCCACTGTATAATCATAGCTATCTAACCTTTGCCTAAGAGGATTCCATTTTCTTCCCCTGCCACCAAATCATAAAAGTCAGTTTGCTTTAAATTAAAAAAAAAGTTTCTGCGGCCATTAGGTTGCATGAATAATAAGTAATTCCATCAAAAAGAATATAACTAGTTGAAAGGAAATGTGCTATGAATTGAAGAGACCATAACAATATGCATTTTCGTATAAAAAGTAGATGAATGAAAAGCTGTGAATCAAAATGAACGGGCACAATATATCACATATACAAGGGACAATTCGTTGATAATCTATGATTTAAGGAATTGAATCTCATGATTAAAGAGAGAAAGTTTGTGACTTTGTTCTATATCATTTATCATAGAAACATAGTTTAAGATTGATTAATCGGCTGCTGCATATATGTTGAAAAGAGTCCTCCCTAGTAAAACCTATTCATCAGTCTCATACCTTTAGACATATTTCCAATCCAATTTTACCAACTTTTAGTATATCAAACTTGAGAGACCAACAGTAACTAATTCAATCAGTGCATTTCAATTCAATCGGTGCATTTCGAGTCATGGTGTGTTCCCGATCTGATTTGCAAAAACTAATGACCAAAGAATTAAAAGAAAAGTGCTAATAATTAACTTTCTAATAAGCATTGTTAATCTATTTATATTTAACACAAGCCTTTTAATATTTTCTTAAAATTGAGGACAGTTTTCTAGATACTATAGCATTTAAGTCTGAACTTAGAACTTCGACTATTTAGGGATTATCTGTTTGAACAAAAGTCACAATCGCAATCTGCCAAAGACAGTTACAATTGTTCAGTCTGCTGTAACTGCATTTTTTTGCAACCACAAATTGCAAACAATGGAAACAAACAGTTGCAAGTAACAGCAACTGCCATTTGTACTGCAATTGCAAATTTGCAATCGTCAATCTGCTAAACAACTCCTTGATGAAATTAGAGGTATATATACGTCTCTTCTCTGTCAATGTGCCCATAGACACTACATGCATAAATTATCAGAAGGATCCTTCTTACTCAAACAACCATGCTCTCACCCTGAGTATCAATCTGATTAAACCTACTACTTCGTATCATGTACCCTTCATTGTAGCACATGTATACCCATACTTGTACCACAAACCAAGGCATATGTTGATGCAGGAGAAACAAAGACCAAGGTTCAATTTCAGGTTCTCTGAACTGCACGAATGACATTGATTGTTTCAGTCATAACTTTTCCTAGGAGACCCCAACTGAGTCTCTGTTTAGAGCATTGGAAAGATTAATGAGTTTATTTTCTAATATATTTGGTTATGCATGAATTGGAGTTCTCTGGATAAAGTTATCTGCAGAATACTAAGGGGTGATCAATCTGGACTCTATCGACTTTTATGTTTTCTAGGATGTTAAGTTAGTCAAATATATCTTTTACTATTCCGACATCATTAATCTAGAATTATGAAATTCTCGTGCGAAGGTTCGCTTCAAGACTACATATATGATATATCCTAGTGGTCTAAAGAAAATTAGGGTGTTGAGTTTGATTATAGTTAAGCCTTGTGCTTTGTAATTGCTCTGCATTTCATTGGTAGGTTTCATTGTGCATGTTTATTTGTCTCTCGAAGGTAGGGTCGTTGGACTGGTGATTTGACATATCTACCTAGAGTGGTGTATCTGTATCTCTAGATACAAAAATAGATTGGTTGACTAACCCTATTTATCAGCCGCTTATTCTAAGGTAGTGTTTCTGTGTCCTTAAGAGTGATCGACAGCCTCATCATTTTCTCATATTTTCCTTTTATCCATCTCGACCATACCGTCCCGGTGTCATACGTAACATTATCCAGCAATAGTACGAATAAGATTTTAAAACACAAAATAATTTATGACAAAGCTTATTGACTATATGAGGCACAACAACTTAGAATGAACTCTAAAATGAAAGAGATGTATCCATTTACGACGCATATAATTGTTTAATATTTCAACACATTTACAAGCAAATTCTACATCGCAATCCACAACTATGGTAAGGATTATTGACATAGCATATCAATGATCACTTTAAACAATTATAACATGACAGAATATACTACAAAATAAAACCAAATGTATCAAGAAAAATGAAAAAAAGATTCAAAACTTGGGTTGTTCCAAGTCCAGACTAAGAGATATAAAGACTGTGTTCTGGGCCTGAGAGACTTTTGTTGGGCAATCTAGACATTTCAGGTTGTGTTAAAATAAATTGGCAACAGCTTGTAGAAAACCAATAAAGCAACTGTAAGAGGCAATGGAAATTTTAATTAAAATGAAGTAGGGCATTAAAATCAGGGTAAAAGACTAACTCAACTCTCTACATATGATCAGTCGCGTCCAAACAGATCACAAAATAATACCTTAACCTAAGCTTCAATTGTTAATAAAGCTTTGCTAGTAGGGTTCCTGTCAATTAGAGATATTACACAGGAGGGAGAGAGTGAGGGAGGTGTTAGAGTTGGCTATTGTCCATTGGGAGCAAACTTCCTGTTGGTGTTTGACCCACTAAAGTTGAATTTCCTTTAAATGTTTTATCAACCCAACATGATGGCTGGTTTGACCATGCCAATTGCCAAGGAACAAGATTCGCACAGTTTTCTCCCACTTTCCATGGTTTTACCTCCATTATTGTGAGGACAGGTCTCAATTGTAAATATCGCTTAGTTCTGGCTAGTACACAATTTGCATAGACATGTTTCAGGTTGGCTCTGGACTAGCTCCAAAAAATTTCATTCTTTCAGATGAAAGTTACCAAGATCCAACAAAGTCAACGGTAAAGATCAAATTAAAGGGAGTAAAGAAAGGTAATCCTAGTTAATAAATTCCTCTCCTTACGAAGTTCGAATTCTATAGTAATCACAAAATTTCCAACCCGTTTCATTATAATCTTACTGTAACTTCAAATTAATGACAATTACATGACTTTGGATTAATTTTATGTTCAATGGTTGAGTAATATAAGTTCACTTTTCTTTATCTAGCGCCCACTTAGTTAATAGTTTACAACTTTACATATTTATATTATATCAGCTCCTCAAACACTACACATGCAAAGAGGCAAAAGTTGGTCAATCTAGCAGTCATGAATAAAGTCTTAGAAATTAGCAAAATGTCCCTGCTTTTGGTCGAAAAGATCCGCCTACAGTCTCTACAACTCTTTCACAATAAGCATTGGAACCAAGTTCTTGAAACCTTTGAAAAGGACATCAGGAAGAAGTTACAGAATATATGGGTGGGTGGGTGGGTGGGGGGGGGTTAGAAAAGAAACACATATCTAATTATATATTGATGTGATTAAAGATATGTATGATAGAGTAACAGCTAAAGTAAGAACTAATGAAGGAGAAACTAAGTTAATTTTCTATAACCATAGGTTTACATCAATGGTCAGCCTTTAGCCGTTATCTTTTTACTTTAATTATGGACCAACTTACTAGACATATTCAGGATGAAGTGCCGCAGTGTATATTATTTGCTGACGATATAGTATTAGTTGAGGAGACAAGAACATATATAATTTCTAAAGTAGAAAGGTGAAGGCAAGCTCTTGAAACTAAATGTTTTAAAATTAGGAAAACAAAAACAGAATACGTGGAATGCATTTTTAGTAAAACTAAAAGAAGAAAAGAGCCTATAGTACATATTGATGGCCAAGAGATAGCTATAAGTAATCAATTTTGTTATTTAGGATCAATCATTCGGCATGATAATGAGATTAAGAATGATGTTGTTAATCGAATCAAATCAAATCATGATGGTTAAAATGGATGAGTGCTTCGAAAGTCTTATGTGATCGTAGAATACCCATGAGACTTAAAGGAAAATTCTATAGGACAATTATAAGACCAACAATGTTTTATGGTTCGGAATGTTGGGCAATTAAAAAATAACATGTGCAAAAAATAAGTGTAGCAGAAATGAAAATGTTGAGATGGTCTAGTAGGTAAATATAAGATAAGAAATGAATGCATCCGTAGTAAATTAGTAGTTGCTCTTATTAAGGATAAAATGAGAAAGAATTGATTAAGGTGCTATGGTCATGTACAACGTAGACCTTTTAGCGCACCAGTTAGGAATATTGATGATATTATAGTTAATGGAGTAAATAAATCTAGAGGTAGACCTTAAAAACTTGGTTAGAAGCAATCAAGAAAACCATGATTATGCTTAGCTTAACAAAGGATATGGCCCATAATAGAGCGGAATAGAAGAATACGATCCATGTAGCCGACCCCAAACGTTTGGGATAGAGGCTTTGTTGTTGTTGTTGTGTGTAGAAAGCAATATGGCAATATAGAGGAACTTGATGCCAAGCATAAATTTTTGTGCTTAGTAGTGAGGTGGCTTGTTTTTATCCACTCATTCAAATGTGGGACCACATTCATATGGAGTGGAGAGTGGACAAGAATGAGACTTCACTAAAAAACTCATGCTTGGTACTAAGTTCCTACTACACTTTTTCACTTGCATATATATATATATATATATATATATAATATATATATTATATATATATATATAATATATATATATATATATATATAATATATATATCTACAACATTCTTCATAATGAAAGCAATTCTATGGCTTGAAGTGTCAATACTTAAAAGTCATTAACATCACATCACCACCTAGGATATACAACTCTATTATGGAAATTACTAAAGACCTGCAATATTATTCGTGAATATATAGTTTGCAAATGTTTCTTAGCGCAGATTCATAAAAAATGTATCACATGGCCATAAAGAATGAAAAGAATTGTATACCACAATCCAACTGAGTAACTAAAACAGAGCTAGATGTTACCTAAAAAGGCGCCACAAAGAAGCCAAAGCCTGGATTTGTCTTGAATACAGAAATGACATCAACCAATGCAATGTTTGTATATGCAATGTTGCAAATTTAAGCATGTCAACACATAGAGAAGCAGAAACAGTTAAGCCTGAAAAGATTCCAGAGAGTGCAAGCCCTTTGATGAAATGCCACCAAAGGAAACCCAGAAAGAACCACAGTGTAGAGAAAACTTGAATTGCATTGAGTGAAACCATGCCAAGAAGCTCTGCTAGTTCAGTGTTTAGCTTAAAGCCTGCTGGAACACCCATCAGCCACACACAACCAGACCGCAACAAATTGTTGGTTATATTCTGAGCAATAAACACAGTTCCAGAGTAAACATATCCGCTGTTAGATAATACTACCATACCAAAAACATTTCCCATAATCACATCAATGGCAATGCTAGACCAGACAGAATGCTTCCTTATTGCAGCCATATGCGCATATTCAATATTTGATTGCTCTCTACCAGCCAAGGAAAAATTCACAAGTTTTAAGAAAATGTGCAAGATTTCATTCAAGTAAATGTTAACATGATATGCAATTTTGTGTTTACCTGAAACCAGTACTGAGAAGAAAAACTGGCCAATAAAGAAACTGACAACTACGAATGTGAATATTCTTCCACGTCTGTGTAAACACCTCATGTAGTATCATTGAAAAGAATGTATGCGGTCCAAACTTCAGAAATCTATGAGACAACTGAAGGACAACATAAGTGACAACAGACACAGATGCCAACAGTACTGCAAGCACATACCATAACATGGATAGCAACCTAAGAAATCCACATACCACACTGAGTAAGAAACTAATAATTAAATTAGAGTAAATGAGTTCCATAAAAAGATGATGACCTGGATATAACAATGAAGTTGATTGCAGGACATGTGGCAGTTGAAATCCCCTTCAGAGAAACCATAGCAGCACTTGCACAGTTAAGTGCCCACACCACTGCTTCCTGCAATTGAGATTCACTTCACAGGTGTATGTTTAACTGCTGAAGTTTGAAACCAGTAAAAGCTGTAAATATCTAGAGGAATTAAAGTCACGAGAATTACTAAATTAGAAGCTCTGGATCTCTCGTAAAGCTCATTAAACCAATTGGGCTTCTTGGAGGGTGTGATTGCCTGCTTGCCATAACCCCAACTTCTCACAGAAAAATGATGTCTACTATAGGTTGGAAGCTCATAAAGCATCAGCTGTATCAATAAAACGAAAGGATTATCTACAGGACAAATAGTAAGGTCATAAAGGGAGGCAATAATAGTTTCCTGACTTACATACGTGGACGTCGCAGTTGGACCAAGAAAGCCCATTTTGATGCATGTGATGGAACTCTGGGATCCATCTGGATTTTTTACACAAGATTCTCTGGGGATTTGGTAATAGGTGAATCCAGTTACCAGATTGATTTAGGATCTGACAACCACACCTCCCACTTTTATTATTCTCTAGACATGAAGCTGCAGAAAATGTATTTTCATTTCCATATTCGCAGCTGATGGTTCTTGTGACATCAGTTTCTACCGACCCATGAAATTGAGTGCCTTTAGGAGCAGGGCCACTTTGATGGTTTCGAATAGTCACAGCACATTGCCCAATCATACAGAATGTTGAGGCTTCTTGTAGTGGAATAGGCATCTTCAAGTTTATAGACTGAAGTAGTTCCTGCATCATCATCATCAAAGAGTAGGCTGTAAAGTTATCTTAATAAAATATAATCTTTGTTTTTCTATGTTACATAAAAGAAACATATGTTAGTGAGAAATGATAAGTAGAGTTGATCGCAAAGTGGATGGTTACGACGTACGAGCAAAGGCTTGACTATACGATAATATCACATAAATTTTGGTATCTTAATCATTATGTCAGAACAAGCAGCAATGGCATGGTTTTCTCCTTTAAAAATGATGCAAGACAAATCCTTGATGCAAATTATGACACCGAAAGTGGCTCCACACATAATAGATCAACTGTAAATACTAAAGGAGGATCTCACATTATATACCGATTTGACTAAATATTTATTCATAGTGTCTGGAATAGAAAGATTTTTGAACGAGCAGCAGCATATGAAAACATCTTGATCGCAGATTGGGTTGGATTTGTACAAACGTACACAATGTTACATTAAACGTTGGGCGCTTCTAGGCGTCTAACTTGACGCCCAACGCTTAGTCGCCTAGGTGGGCGCCTAAGCGGTTTCCGGGCGTTTTTTTTCTTTCTTCATTTAAGTGGTGGTCGATGAGGTTTTGCTGAAGGTCGGAGGAGGTAGTGGAGGTGATCATATTTGGAGGTTAATGGAGTTTGGAGGACGTGTAGGCTACGACACATAAAATCACAATCAAGACTTACAGGGTGCAATCTACGTAAGCAGACAATGCTCCCCTAAACGCTCGTAAAATCTAGGTAGACAGCCTAAATACCGTCTAGGCGCTAGGCGCTAATTAGGCGGTCTAAGTACCGCCTAGGCCTAGGCGTACGCCTAAGCGGACTAGACGGAGGTTTTTTAAAACAGTGAACGTACATGTAATATTTCATCATATATTAACATACCCTGGTGTTGTAATTATATCAGAGCTAAAAATGACTACATATTCTTCAATAAGACACGGTTCAAACTACAAATTTCAAACTTCAGCAATTAAGAGGCTTATGATGCACAAGTGATATATCATAAGACTAAAATGGGTAAACTAGAAGATCATATTATAACCAGGGTAAATTTCAGAAAACCCCCTTAAGTTTGGGCGTTTCTCAGATAATTCCCCCTTAACATTCAAAATGACACACAACCCCCTTAAGTTTTGGGGTTCTCAGAAAACCGAGTTCAACTTGTGGACGTTAAAAAAAACCCTATTAGTGTTAACAGCAATTTTTGCATGCATGGGTAAATTAGGCAGAGGGATAATTTTGCTAGTGAAACTTGTGGTTCGGGCTTCTAGCAGATTTTTTTTTCAACGTGGAAAGTTGAAGGGGATTTCTGCAAACCCCAAAACTTAAAAAGTTGACATGGTAAAAGTTTCTGGGGTTTCCTGAAATCTACCCTTATAACATTTTTGAAGTATCAAATTAGTCCGTCAAATCTTCAATAATTCCATATAAGTTCCTCACATGTTTGAAATTGCTCATTATTCCCCTAAAATCCAAAGGCATCTTACAAAGATTTGAGGGACCAATAGCGAATTAGTGAAGATTTCAGGGACCAGTAAGTATTATTGAAGTATCAAAGTAAACCTGAAGCTCTAGCCGTTGACCAAGAGCTACCAGAACCTCAGTTTCCGAAATCGCGTGAGCAATCACAAGATCAACCGATGTCGAAGAATCAAAGCACCAACCAAACAGCAGCAGGTTGGCGCTCGGATCCCGAGACGAGAGCTCCACCGGCCACCAAAGCCTGCATCGCTTCCTCGCCATTTCTCACATCACAATCGCACCCAACACTGAATAAAAAGGCGCCGTCTTTGGCGATTCTCCGGCATTTGAGGGCAAAATAAAATTTGAGGGGGGCGGAAACGCAGCGATTGCGATTTGCTAGTGGACGTTTTTTTTAACGGGTGTGAGAGGCCAAAGTAAGCCCTAGGTATCAATCGCGTTTAGGGGCTGTTTGGTTACTTTCCTTCACTTTCCATAGATGATTTTCCTTCACTTTCTTGTGTTTCCTTCACTTTCCTGAAAAATGTTTCTTGCGTTTGTTTCGCCCAAAAATATGCAGTAAAAGTACTTTACATCATTTTCTATTGTTTGGTTCAACTTGAAAAAAGAAGAAAATATGTAGTGAAAGTACTTTACATCATTTTCTGGTGTTTGGTTCAAACTAAAAAATTAAGAAAACTTGCTTGTGGTCACCATGGTAAGATTACCACCCAACATAATAGTTGTGCTCAGAAAAGGCCATTATTTCATTATCTGCCTTGCCATAAAGTTTATAAAGCAATGTTGGCTGCAATATATTACTGTAGGCAATAAAAATTGCTTTAAATCCTTATCAAAGAAGTTCAGAACAAAACTGCTAAAACCTCACCCGAAATAGCAAAAGAGGGGAAAACGCAGATATCTCCCAAACCGTAAGGAATTTGGCGAAATGGAGGAAGCGAACCGAAGCCTTCGGCTGGGTTCGGATGACTCCATCTCGTCGAGATAGGCGATTTTCATATATAACTCGTCCAATTCCGACTTACGGTTTGAAAGTTACGGCTTATTCTTCAATCCATGCTCAGCAGCTCGTCTGCAGCTCGAATCTGCCTGCAGTCCCAAATCCGCCTGCAGACCCAAGTCTGCCTGCTCGTCTGCAGCTCGAAATTCGCCTGCAGTCTCAAATCCGCCTGCAGACCCCAAGTTTGCCTGCGCATCTGAACTCGCCTGCGACTCGCCAGCTCACTGTCAACTGCCCACTTGGAGTATGGGAACAGTTACATCAGTGGTCAAATCCCACAAATCAAGGGAGAGGGCACAATACTCCAGGCCCGTCAGATGGCCGTCCACAGTACGAATGAGCGGACAGGCGCCGAAACAGCCTGCACCCTCATAAATGCGGCTCACCTCAGTTGTCCAGGCGAAGGGACGAGAGCCGCCGACGCTCGGTGGTTGGTCAGATCCACGCAAGCATCTGACAGCCGTTGTCACGCATACGAGGAGGGGCTTTCCCACTCCTACGTAGCGTGATGCAGAGCACAGGTCTTCGAATGACCACTGACGGTACGAATGAACATCAGGACATCTCTGAACGACGTGTGGTCACATCCCATAATTCAAGGAGCAGTCAAGCTGTCTCCCTCACATGGTCAAATCCCATGAATCAAGGGATGGCCCATGTCATCACTTGCCTACTAAAAACCATTTTCAGCCAGCATGAGAGGGGGATTGGCTGTTGCATATTCTGCTGGCTAATCTCCCAAAGGTTGAACCTGGACCTTTGCCAAAGGCTCCCTCATTTGAGAACCGAAGCTCCGGCTCCGGCAGCAACTTCGATCGGATCGTCCAAGGGAAGCAGACTCGGCACGAGCACCGAGCGAGGCGTCCTATCGCCACCGAGGAACCCACGTTAAACAAGGAGGGCTTTCCCTCCGCTTCTGTTGTAAACATTTGATTTATTAGTTTGTAATAAGCCTTTTTATCAATACAAACGAAGTTCCCTGTTTTCGGGAGATCAAAATTTACACCTACAATTACCCCGCCAATATATTGCCCCGCCAATATACTGTTGCTATAAACTTTGGCTGCATATCTTAAAAATAGCCCATCATCATAACACAAAATATGCAACACAACCAAAGGCCAACCAAGAGCTGAAACCAAGGCTGAGAGCAAGTTGAAACCATCACATTAATCACAAATATGGATCCTTCGAACCAACACAACAAAGAGCTGAAACCAAGGCCAAGTGGAACACAAATTCAGACTCAGCAAAAGCCAACACAACAATTTAGCTCCATAGACCAAGCAACTGAAACCAAAGGCCAGCTTCTAACTTGGATCATCAACATGGAAACAACAAACCAAACAACCAACATGGAAACAACAAACCAACACAAGCAAGACATGAAACCAAGGCCGAGAGAACACTGTCAGACTCACCAAAAGCCAACCAAGGCCAACATGGAAACAGCAAACCAACACAACCAACATGGAAACAACAAACCAACACACCTGGACATGAATCATCAACATGAATCAACAAACCAACACAACAAATTCAGACCTGCAACATGAATCATCAACATGGAAACAACAAACCAACACAACCAAGAGATGAAACCAAGGCCGAGAGAACAAATTCAGACTCACCAAAAGCCAACCAAGGCCAACATGGAAACAGCAAACCAACACAACCAAGAGATGAAACCAAGGCCGAGAGAACAAATTCAGACTCACCAAAAGCCAACCAAGGCCAGCATGGAAACAGCAAACCAACACAACCAACAAGGAAACAACAAACCAACACAACCAAGAGATGAAACCAAGGCCGAGAGAACAAATTCAGACTCACCAAAAGCCAACCAAGGCCAGCATGGAAACAGCAAACCAACACAACCAACAAGGAAACAACAAACCAACACAACCAAGAGATGAAACCAAGGCCGAGAGAACAAATTCAGACTCACCAAAAGCCAACCAAGGCCAGCATGGAAACAACAAACCAACACAACCAACAAGGAAACAACAAACCAACACAACCAAGAGATGAAACCAAGGCCGAGAGAACAAATTCAGACTCACCAAAAGCCAACCAAGGCCAGCATGGAAACAGCAAACCAACACAACCAACATGGAAACAACAAAGCTAGTTCAACTGGACATGAATCTGAAACATGGAAACAGCAAACCAAGGCCAAGTGGAACACAAATTCAGACTCGCCAATATTAATATCATCTTCATTAGCAACAAACCAAACAACCAACATGGAACCCCACTTGTAAACCTGTCAAACAACCACAGGCCAACACAACCACGGAAGCTGCACAAAAACTGAGCTCAAAAGGGCCAAACAAGCCAAGAGTTGCAACAAAAGTCAACATTTGAGGATGAAAATCCACACCAATCAACGTTTGACGATTCCAAAACCCTAGGGTCAACGCCGGTCAACGCGTAACCCTAGGTCAACCCCAGTCAACGGGTTGCACCAAAAGTCAACCTTTGACGAATCAAAACCCTAAGGGTCAACGCCGGTCAACGCGTAACCCTAGGTCAACGCCAGTCAACGCGTTGCGACAAAAGTCAACCGTTGACGATCCAAAACCCTGGGGTGGACGCCGGTCAACGCGTAACCCTAGGTCAACCCCGGTCAACGGGTTGCAGCAAAAGCCAACCTTTGACGAATCAAAACCCTAAGGGTCAATGCCGGTCAACGCATAACCCTAGGTCAACGCCGGTCAATGCGTTGCGACAAAAAGTCAACACACGGTGATCCAAAACCCTAAGCCAGCATAATGTGGCGGAGGTAGTTCAAAGTCAACTCAATGACACTAGCCAAATTCAATCCACCAGCTGCAAACTCGAGACTCCGACTACGGCCAAGCGATAAACGCAGCGCCGGAAGAACCTCGGCTATTCGTCAAAGCATCGAATAGACCGAAAATCGAAGGAGACAAGAGTTGAAGCTAACCACAGGTCCTGAGGCCGACTGAAGGCCAGACCAATCACATCCAAAGTATTCCAGCCTCTCCTATAAAAGAAACGAGTCAGGAACACTTTGAAGGGGGGTATCTGTAGGCATCGAAAACTGCCTATAGTTCTCCACAACCGGTTCAGTGTTAACGAACAACAATGAACATCACCATCCGACCCACATGAGCCTAATTGACGTCGATGAACGATTGAAGTGAATCGACGAGTTATGTGAGCAGATAGGACTTCGGAATCACGAAGACCCGGACCAATCGGGAAGCCCCGGCACTGTTCACAAAAAAGGACAACGCCCCTCGTGCCTCGGCCACTCTACAGATAATCCAACCATCAGAGCGGATCGAACTCTTCGTCACGTATCCAACGCACCCGGAATCACTCAAATCCGAATTCGTATGAAGAATCTACGGGGAAAACGGTTAAAACACACCTACGGACGTCTCGGAACCCCGAAACACCCCCAGGGGTGTCTCAGAAATTCCGAGACACCCCAGGGGTGTCTCGGAATTTCCGAGACACCCTAGGGTGTCTCGGAAAATCCGAGACACCCTAGAGACACCCTAATTCCGAGACACCCTAGGGGTGTCTCGGATTTTTGGAGACACCCCAAGGGTGTCCCAGATCTGTGCGGACACCCCTGGGGTGTCCTAGATCTGTGCGGACGCCCCCCCTCTTGTTTTCCTATAAATAGGACCCCCTTACCTCATTTGGAATGATCTGGATTTTTAGAGAGCCTCGGCGAAGCCCTGCTGCAGCAAACACTGATCGAGCACTTCAACCGAGGAGGAGAGGTCTAAATCAGCCTTCATCACCCGTTCTCATCCTTCCTTAGTATTAGCCTTTAGCGTTAATACTAAGAAGAGCTATTACCTGATCCTTAGAGCATTTCTGGAGCTTTGGAGATCGGCAACAAGATCTTCTTCATCCTTGGCTTATAACCGACTTTCGGTTAAATCAACTCTTTCATAGAGTTTTAAACTCGTTCAGAGTTCTCCACAACGTCAAATCGTGAGGAGAAGACCATGTTCCAGTGAAACAAGACATCGGATCGTCAACGAGAAGCAAACTCGATGCGAGCATTCGAGGGAGGCATCTCATCGCCACCGTGAAGAACCCAGAATTAAACAAAGGGGAGAATCCAGATCATTCTCTTCTCTTTTGTAATCAGAAATCCAATTGTAATCGAGAGTAGAGAGAGTTGTAATCATTCTTTTTCTAAGCAGTTAGAGAGAATAAAATCAAACGCAATTCTTTCATTCATTTTCATCATTACAAATTTTCCCACAAACAATCACATGCCTATTTCATTAGTATTCCCTCCCTTATACTTATCACAATAATCAACCCACATTTCCCAAGCTATTTGATCTCTACGATTCTTCCATACGTTTCTTGATTCTGCTTGCTCCCTTTGAGTTTGGGGTTGAGAGAAATCAACAATATTATTATCATCTTCATTAGCAACTTCACCTTCATCATCTTCGATCTCAACGGTCTCATTGAATATGTCATC